TGGATGCCTACCAATAAGCTCACCTCGGAGTCCTGGTTTTTATTGGGGCTCTCTTATGTAGGCATAACTGGTTAATGGTTTGTCCAAATGGTTGATGTCAGCTTTTAGGTTGACTCCACCCTAAACCACAGACTAGTCTTTCTCCCATGGCTTGCCCCCACCTGAAGACTATCAGGTGTGACTGGCCCCTGCCATTAACAGAGACATCTCTGTCACTCGAGGTGATGTGACAGAAGGCAAAGGCCTTCTGTACATTTGAAAATTTTTAAATTTCTGTTTGGGCAAGGTATTTTTTTTTTATTTGTTTGTTTGTTTTCTACATAAAACTTAAAAAAAAAAACACACACAATTTTTGTGTGTGTGTTTATGCTTTTAATTTTTATCATTTAGATTCCTCGCTTTTAGAAATTAAGATAATTTCCATGACTCAATGTCTTACAAAAGAAACCTGCTCTGAAAAGCATCTTTGCACAGTAATCTTCTCCTTGTGTATAATAGGCAAGGGCTATTTTAAAGAATTTTGATATGCCTTGCCAAATAAGCTTTTAGAAAGTTTCTCCAAATTTGAGTGCCTATCAGCAGTATAATGTATCTACTTTTGTGCTTCCTTGCCAAAACCAGCTGCATAAACAATCTTTTCTGATTCTACCCTATCCTGGTAAGTCAGTTGGTTAGAGTGCTGTCCTGGTATGCTAAGGTTGCAGGTTCGATCCCCAGTCAGGCCACATAAAAGCATCAACCAGTGTATGCATAAGTGGAACAAATTGATCTATCTCTGTCTCTGTCTCTGTCTCCGTCTCTGTCTCTACCATCTCTCTCTCTATCTTTCTATCTCTCCCCCTTCTTCTCTCTCAAAAAAATTTTTTTAAATTAAAGAAAATATTTTCTGATTCTATGGACAAAATATCTGACTTGTTTTAGTTTTTCATGTATTTGTTATTACAGAGGTTGACTCTTGTTCTCCTTCACCTACAATTTATACTGTTTCTTTTGTGAATTTACTATTTGTGAGTAAAATATCCAAATTTCTTTCAAAACTAAAGAAATTTTAAAATGTACAGTAAGCTGCAAAGTTGCTTACAGTGTACATGAGGATGGATAAGTACCCCTGATCTATAATAAACTGTCACAAATCAGTATTAAAATGATGGACACCCCAGTAGTGATACTGTCTCTTCCTCTGGATTCATGCCTAGAACTTATAGTTTAGGATTGCAGTTTTTACTAATGTATTAACTAGCTTTTCTCTTCAGTTCTATTTAAAATGGCCCAAGAAATAGAAAATATTTGTACTCTCATTTTTAAATAGGTAAAGGAAGGAGGTAGTAAATGACCGTGTGCTAAATACCTCATCTTCTAAATGCAATTGTGTTGATTTTGGGAGAGACATAATTCAACTACAACTTATAGTAATTTGAAGATAATCACTAATAAGATAAAAATAGAATGAACTATTCTAAAATTTTTCTAGGTAGACAAGAGAAAACAATTTGAGTAATATAGCAAAGGAATAAGAAGGAAATGGGAAAACATTATTCTAAAAAGTACAAAAAGATGTAGCAACTAAGCTTTATATAGTTTATTACTAAAATAAAAATTGCCTCAGCTTTGAAGGACAGGTATCTTACAAGATTATGGAAATAAAAAACAAAGATATGAGCAAAAATATACTGTAAAAGCCAAATAAAAAATAAAAAAAACATGTTGGCAATAAAAATGTGAGACAAAGTAGGGTTAAAGGCAAAGAGCATTAACTAACAGAAGATATATTATATTGATTAAGTTTACAATTTAAAGGGGAAATATAACAGTTATGTTCTTTGATGTGTCAAATTATAGGGCATGCAATATCCAGCCAAAACTTATTTGACTAACATTCAAGGAAAAATGGACAAAATTGCTATTGGGAAGATTTTGAAATAGTTTCTTCCATTTTTTGAGAGATTAAGAAGAAATAAATTATATATAGAAATGAAATAATGCAAATAACATGATTAAAATATAGTTATTTTGAAGTCAAATAGAGAATATGAAAGATGATATCTTAGATTACAAAGACAAATCAGTAAATTTCTAAAAATATACACATTTTTTGAATGCTATTGTGGTGACACTATAGTTCATTATTAACTAAATAAATAAGCAGATAATACTGTCACTGTCCTTAGAAGTGAAATAAAACAAAATAAAATGTTACTTTTCTCAAAGAGGAAATAGTTTATTGCATTTCACATTATTTTCTGGCTTCTGGTTTATGGCCAGTGGTAGACTCAAAGGAAAATGCAAGTCATTATTTTATGATTAACAAGTGAGCAGTTATAATTAATAAGCAATATATTAATGTAAGGAAATTAGAGTAAGGTCAGCAACACTGTTCTAAGACAAAAAAAAAGGAAAATTAATATTGATTGAGAATAGAAATTAAGAGAAAAGGTGAAAAACATAGCAAATTTATTAATGAAGTTTGGCTTCTATAAAAAGGCCTCTAAAATTGTTAAACACTTGATAAAGATAATCAAAGAAAAAAGGAAATAAAATATTTATATACCTGTATGATACTGTTATGTATATATTTTCATATTTGTAAATAAGAAATAAAAAATTTAACGTTACCAACCGCAGAATTGCTGTGAAGATTAAATAATAGAATAAAGCTCGATGCATAATAATCATATTAAATGTTAACTTATTAGTAGTAGTATGACTTCTTACTGTTACTACTATTCCTGTTAAAATATTAAATGAACAAAAAGCAAAATAAAATATATTTTCATCACTAAAAATTTGAAATGCACTGTTTTCTGGGAAAATAGAAATAAATGACCATTATAGAATTAGAGCATTTGAGTAGCTTGACAATCATGGGAAAACATAATCTAAGAGGTAACTCATTGACGTTCTTAACACCAGACCTTTTCATGGGCATATTTTCTTTTTTTATTTAAAAATTTTCAATTTTTATTTTTATTATGAACTATAACTTTAAAAACATGTAAAATGTATAGTGAAACAGTTATAAAACAATCATGTAGCTACCACTCTGTTAAGAATAGACCACGTGACCCTTCTGCTCACAGTTCCCTTAGGGACCCACGTGCTCACCTGTGTATCATACCAATAGTAATAGCTGCCTAACTTTTCTTTTTCATTTTATATCATCTATGTGCACCTACTTTACACTATTACTGAAGTTTTGTCCATTTTTTGTATGTTGTGTAAACGGGATCATACATATCAGAAATGAGAAAAGGATGCTCACTATCATGGCTATTCCCGGAGTAAAAAGTGCAAGACTTCTAAGGGGATAAGTATAAAACTTCATTCACAGACACTAAAGAAGGCCTGCATAAATGGAGAAATGCTTCACGTATATGGATTAGAAGAATCAATATTGTAAATCTATCAAAGGGAAAGCTATCAACATTTCACCATTAAATAAGATTGAGGAATTTTTCTCCTAGTGTACTAAGAGTTTTTACCATGAATGGGGGTGGCATTTCTTTTTTCCTCTCTTTAAAATTTATTTTGTATTTCTTTATTCCATCAGCATTTATTCCCTTTATTCCCTTTCCAACCCCCCCCCCATAATTACCACAACTTTGTCCATGTTCATGAGTTCTCAAATTTCATCAACACTTTTTCCATCTATTGAGATGATCTTTCAAATATTCCTCATTTCTTTTATTAATGCAGAACATTATAATATATTCATTATTTTCCCTATGTTACATCAGTCTTGTATTTCTGGAATAAACATGGCTTTTCTGTATATGCTGACTTCATTAAATTTTCTTTAGGATTTTTCTATTTCTGTTCATGAGAGATTTACTTGTATTTTTCTTTCTCTTAATATTTCTGTTGAGTTTTGTCATGGTAAGTTTATACTGGCCTGGTAGCATGAATTGGGGAGCCTTTTCTTTTAATCTGTTCTCTGGGAGAATTGTGTATGATTGGATTTTTTTTAAAATTCTATTAACTATCTCTTTTGAAATTAATATTCTAGTTAGAGCGTTTGACAGTAAGTAAGATATTAATAAGTAAAATACATAAGTAGTAAATAATAGTTTACTGGCTCCAAGCAACTAGAAGAATGTATTAGTCTTTAACTGAGATGGGGATACCATGAGGAAGGGCTCTTTTATGATGGAATATCAGGATGTTGGTTTTAGATATGTTTTTATTGAGTTGCCTATTAGGCATCCAAGTACATACATAAAGTAGACAGTTCTGTATGTTGGTCTGAAATAGGCAGGGGTCCAGTCTGGAGATAGAAATTTAGGAGTCATTTCATGACCTGAAGGAGAATACCAAGGGAGCCAGTGTTGATGTAAAAGAGAAAAGGTGGAAGGACCAAAACCATAAAATACAAAGATCTATAGATCAGAAATGGGGGGCAGGGCCCTGGTGACAGCAAGTGTGGGATAAACAGAACAAATAAAAAGGCATATAACATGTAATAAAAATAGCATTTTAGGGATTTAAAGTGTGTGAAATAGACAGTTGGGGGAAATCTTAGGTTCCTGGGCATTTTACATGTCTGGGAACAAAGCTGTACTTTGCCCTTTTCATTGGCATAATCAAAATATGTTTTTTAAGTTCATGCATCTAAACTAATAAACAACTTGTATCAATTTTACCAAGATCCAAAGGATTTGATTATTTATATACTAGAGGCTGGGTGCATGAAATTTGAGCATTTGGGGGGAGAGGTCCCTCAGGCCTAAGTCAGCATTAGGACATCCTTAGTGCTACCGCCGAGATGGGAGAGGCTCCCGCCACCACTGCTGCGCTGGCCCCTGTGAGCCCAGCTTCTGGCTGAGCTGCTCTTCCCCTGTGGGAGCGCACTGACCACCAGGGGGCAGCTCCTGCATTAAGCGTCTTCCCCCGGTGGTCAGTGTGTGTCATAGCGGCCGGTCGTTCTGCTATTCAGTCGATTTGCATATTAGCCTTTTATTATGTAGGATATTTTCCTAAAGATTTACATTTTGTTTCTTTAACAGAGTCCTGTGAAGATAAATCAGATTAGCCTGGATGAAAGTGGAGAACACCTGGGCGTGTGTTCCGAGGATGGCAAGGTACGTGCTGATGTGGTCACCTGGGAAGCATACTCTAGCACCAGGGTGTCCTGGTGCTTGGAAAAGCACTGTGTACCTGCATTAAGGGAGACTTGCTTATTCTTTTTGGGCCTGGACTTGCTTCCGATTGCTCATAATTAAAGTAAAATATATTTTTCACAAATGTGCCTCAGGAAAAGTAATTACAAGAATGTCAATAACGTAACTAGTATTAAGCTGATTAACAGCTGTGGCAGGGGGACGGGTCACCTTAATCATTACTGCTCTGCCACTTAGACTTCAGTGACTAGTCTGCAGTTCCTGCAAGACAGTAGTTTAATGCCTTTCTGCCATAAATCCACAAAATTGGATTTTGTGGTCATGATTTCTGTGGGCCGGTGGTTTTCATTTCACACAAGTTATGAATGTTTCTCTTGAATTATAGAATCTTTTGATAAGCAATCATAGCTTATCAGAAGAATAAAGTGTCTTCCAGTGGCCACATTAAATAAATGTAAAATCAATATATGTACAGTTTCCTAAAAAACCTGGCACCCACTTCCTCAATCGAGGACATACATCATTTGTGCTGTGTATAACTAACAATTATTAGTGCTTCTTGCTGGTGTTGAGCTGTGACATTTAGTGGCTGTGGTGATTGATTTTCCACTTATAAGAATGTCTTTTTTTTGTTTTCCAGTCGATGGAAATCTTTTCTAATGTTGGTTTGCAATGATAAAATTCTAATGCACAATGTTTTTAAGATACTTTTCTAAAATAACAGTTTAAGAAGAGAGTGCATTAAGAATCATTAGATAACCTTACCTATTCCTGACTGAAGACAGCAGATTTTCTAATCTAATTTTGATTTTTACGTGATCTAAATGCAGTGTGTCATTAGGATGTGTAAATTAAAAACAGTGTACTCAGTATAAAAGATTTATACCCATTTGATCTGTTAGCAAAAGAAAAATGAAGTCTTCTTGACACACAAGAATGCATTTTATGTACCTAAGCCTAATGTTTCTTAGAGTCTTTTGAAATAGTAATTGGTACACTGATGCTTTTCAAAAAGCACTGTCAAATTTTACAGTACCTTCTGAAATTCTGAGATAAACCATATTGTTAAGGAGAGTTGAGGGAGGAATTGTTATGTACAGAAGTTGAGAAGAATTATCTGAACTATTGAGACATATTTGTATTTATGTATTTGTAAGAAAGATCATCTTCATTTTGTTTTCTGAATGATGAGGAATTCCTTCTGGGCTTTTATCAATTTAATTGAACTAATATTACTGAAATAAAATATTCAATTTTCGAATTGAGAAAATTTTTATTAAGATAATTTATCTAGGAATTTTCAGAGCTTTAAATTTTGAGCAATTATTACTTGATGTAGTAAATTTCTGATGAATAATGAGATGACCCTCAGATATCTCCTGGGGTACACTTCTTGACAAAACCTCTGTTTTTCTATTTTAGTAAAATTTAAAACTGCTGTATTTTCGTGTAAACCTATGATACATTTTAAAAAATGCTTTTCTCATATATTTTATTAGTATGGGTAGAATTGAAAATAAGTATTTCATGCATTTTTTTTAATGCAAACTAGCCTTTACCATGAGTTATTTGTTACTATGAAAATTGAGTAGCAGTATAAAGTGATCTGGTAAAGTGATGAGTGATGAAAAAACAAAGATATTACATAAATTCTACTAATTTAGATGAATGCATGTCTAAAGGGCTGTTGTGATTTTTCTTTCTTTAGTATATTAGGGATCTCTATATATAAAAGCCTAATATGCAAATTGTCCCCACGGGAGTTCGACCAGGAGACCAATTGCTCGCTATGGTGTGTGCTGACCACCAAGGGATGGTGTAGAATGAAGAAAGGCCCTGGCTGGCAGCTGGAGAAGAGAGGCCCTGGCCAGCAGCTGGAAGGCCCTGATTGGCCTTGATTGCTGGCCAGGCCTAGAGACCCTACCCATGTATGAATTTCGTGCATTGGGCCTCTAGTAGTAGATAATTAGTTATGTCCTATTTCAAAGATAATCTTTGATGTATTCAGTTTTGAAACCATAATTCTAACCATTGTTTAAAATGTTCTCTTTTTATTCAACTATTGCTCATTTCTGTCTTTATAGCATAGCTTCTCTGTGATTGAGTTCTAAATTTTGAAATATGCTCACATACATGTATCTTGTGTGTGTGTGGTTTCAGTTTACTTGTGTACATATTTAGGTAACTTTCTGATAAGTGCATATAAGATTTATTATCTGATCTGTTATGTATATTTCCTTCATACATAAACTAGAATTAACTTAGTATGGAGTTTGAAATATTTTCTCTCAAAATTTTGGGGATGTTGCTCCCTTTTGTCTGACCTTTTTTGTAGACATGTCAGAGGCCAGCCTAGCTTTGTTTTTTCACAAAACCTTTTTAATTTTTCTCTTGTCCTGCCTTGGAGCTCAGACTAATAACACGAGCAACAACAATGACAATAAACAGTCTTTGTAATGCAGTTTGCTAACTTATGTCTTGTTTGGGTCTGTTTTCATTCATTTTGTCTGGAGCACAGTAAGTTCTTTAGATCCATATTCTGAAGTATTGTTTTCATTTCAGGAAAGTTTATTTCTATTCTGATTTTGATTATTGCTTCAGTTCCATTAGTTTTCATTTCTTCAGAGAAACTCAATAACACATGCTTACGCTGGAGGCAGTGTGGTGCAGAGGCTCAGCTGAGCTCAGTATTCCACCCGCCTGTGTGGCAGCCTAACCTCCCTGTCCCCGGTGCCGTGCTGGGCACATTGTTTGCCCTCCCAGTGCTTCCGCTTTCTCGGCTGGGCAGTGGGCACAGTGGGAGTCTTGCATGGGAATGTCTCAAGGTTATGGTGAGGTCTCCACTGATTTACCATTTTTATTGCTAACCATTCATTTCTTAATCCATTGCAGTCTGATCTCTCCCCCTCCTACATTATTGCAGCTAAACTTTTCAAGGTGAGAGGGTGAATGGATAAGCACTACTCACCCTTCCTCTCTTTTCTAAGATATGTAGGTGGTAAGAAAACTGGTCATCACGTGTGGTACCTCCCCCCACACCCCACCACATCTGTGCTTTGCTCTCTCGTTGTTTTTATCCCCTCATTTCTGTGTCATGGAGAGTTCTACTTGTTTATTCCCTTTCTGACTTGCTTTTCTTCCAGCATCAACTCTACTTTGTGGAGTAGAGTTTTATTTCATTTTGCATTTTTAATATTCTCTTCCAGCTCTGTTTTCATTTTAGCCGGATATATAGTTAGTTTTTTATTTTACAACCATTTTACATGTCTTAGAGGGTCAGGCAGTATGGTCGTATGGTTAAGAGTGGGATTACCTGCCCACTGCGTTGTAGCTGTGTGATGTCACCTGTTATTCATACTTCTCTGTGCCTCCATCTATTCCCTCTCCATAAAATGGAGATAATAATGGCGCCTATCTCACTGATTGTTAGGAGGAATAATTGAGTTAATATATGCAAATTGTTTGGAAAAGTACCTGGAGTAGAAGAAATAAGTGATAATTATTAGCTATTATCATCCTTGTCATCATCATCACCATCAATAACATCACTCTGTGATTCTGCTCCAGATTCATGGGGGTCTTTTCTTCTTCTTATTGAAGTCGCTAAAGAGTTTCTAGTTTTTCTTTCTTTTCTGGTTACAATGAAAACAATTTTAAAAGCATAGATTTCTCCCTCACAATTGTTGAAATTTTGTTCTGCAGTATTCTTTTTTATAGCCCTGGTGTGTGTTTTTGTTGCTTGTTTATCTGTCTCAGAATAAGAAGAGCTCTTTCTAAACCTGGATTAACAAAGAGATTCATGTCTGACGGTTCTTGGCCCTGCGTGCTATCATTTTGGGGGTGTGGGGCCACTTCTGAGCTCCATGCAGGGGCCTGTTCATGAGCTCCATGTCCCCTGGCCAGAGGTAATCGGGTCAGGCAGCTGCTCCAGAGGGAAGTGGGAGCCTGTCTCACCATCCCTCCTGCTCTCTGGCCCTCTTCCTGGAGAAGAGGAAAAGCACCAGCAATCTCCCTTGTGAGGGTCCCTTCAGCTACCTCCCTGGATGTGATGACAGTTCTAATTCTTGACCCGCTGTTATTTGGAAGCTGGGCTTTGAGAGAGGCTGGTACAAGGGAAGCACCGATTGAGAAGGTTGTTTGACACCAGCCACCTCACTCACAGTCACTCTCTGTCTGGTGGTCTGTCACCCAATCCTCTGGTCGGTAAATACAGTGAAATCTTTGCTAACGTGGAGAAGGATGCACAACCGTCCTTACTGTTTCCTGAAGGTAGCTTTTCTTCACTTGAGGTAGGGAAACACACCTCTCCTCCCTTCTCTGGTTCTGGTCTGTCTCTGTGGTTTTGTAGGTAATGAGAAGTCCTGTGGGCCTTTACAGTAGACTAACTGTACAAGGCCCATTTTTCTGAATTTTCTATTTTTCTTCATTAAGTATTTTGGTGATAAATTGGAAGAGGTTGTTGGGGGCTGCTGTAGGGGATATAGTTTTCAAAAGACTCCTCTCTGTTTTAACCTTCTATTACTCTTAGATGAGGTCTTCCCGAAAGGTCTCTATGCTGCCATTCAATGGCATCTTTTCACAGAGAAGGACGATATTCACTGACAAAATGGCAAAATTAATAAAGGGGGAAAGAGGAAATGAATGAGAATTATTTTGAATTTTACTAGTTTTAATAGTGTAACTTGTGACCAGTTAGTTTGGGCTATCACATAAGTGAAATGAAGCAAACATAGAAGGGTTTACCGGTCACCCTGCTTGTACGGATAAGGTTTCTGGCATTTGTCTTATGAAGTTACATTGTGTTTTCACACTGGGGACGATGAGGACAGATGAGGCAAACGCTACTCGGTGACGTGGAGTAGTAGAGACCGACCTCAGAGTCTAATCTTCTTTGCCGTCTTCAGCGAGCACTCCTGGAGCCCCTGCTCCGGCTCTGAGTGAAGAATTTTTGCTTCTGACTAGTTCTCAAACGTAGTGATGAGTGTCAGCCTGTTTGCTAAGAACTTCCATGATTTGTTCTCTTTTCTGTTTATTCCGCCTCATCACTCTATTATATTTTCAATATGGATGCATAATTTTTACAAACATGTTGATCAATTTTGAGAAGAGAGAGAGAGAGAGAAAGAAAGAGAGGGGGGAGGGAGGGAGAGAAGCATTGATGTGAAAGTAAAACATTGATCAGCTGCCTCCTGCGTGTTCCCTGTCCCCCCACAGGGGATCTGTCTGCAACCCAGGCATGTGCTCCAACTGGGAATCGAACCAACAACCTGAACCCACTGGCCAGGGCTGGATTCATAATTTTTAAAGGGATATTTATCCTGGGGATTTATAATTTAATTTTCACTATTACATTCATAATCCTAGTATTTACCTTTTCAGTTATTGATACCTCAGTCTTTTTCACCAGGCTCATACATCATTGATTTACATTGCAACTACTTTTCCCTACAATGAACATCACTTAACTTTTGTTCTTAAAATCCCCTTTACCTTGCTATAGGCAGAAGGAAGTTTATCCTTTTGAATTAATAGTCTGCTTCATTTTTCAGCCTCTGTCATAGAGTTGCATAGTTCAAGTCAAATATTTTCTTTCACTTTAATTTGGCAAATATTTGGGACTTTTGAATGTCTTTTTTTCTAGTCTACTTTTACATTTTATATGGAAGATATATATGTTGCAAATTTTAGCCTATCTCACATAATGGGCAGTATGTAGAAAATTAGGGCTTGGGACACTTTTCTTGCTTTTGGTCACTTTAGGCAAGTAATTTATTTTTCTGCAGAATCGTCTGTTGAACAGGTGTGACGGTGTTTGTTCTCATACTGGCAATGTTGTTATCAGGACCAAGTGAGGTAGAGCAGGATTTTTAGTGCCAGCTATCTCCTGTCAATTGTAGACCTTTAAAAATATAGTTTCACCCCAGCCGAAGGCTTAATTTGTCAAGGGGTGGAGCATAGCCATCAGTAACTATGCAGTGCAGGCAGTCAGAACCACTGAGGTAAGGGACGGGGAACCACTGAGAGACACGGAAGCAGGAGTAATAGAAGGTTGACACAGGACCATGCTGTCGCATTGTTGTACAGAAGGGAAATAGCTGTTAGAAGAAGGTGAACTTCCGTGTTCAGCATGAGCATATACTGAGGTAACGTAAGTAAGTGTACCACTTACTGATTTACTCCATTAAGATTCAGATGATATAGTAACACCCCTACTTTTACCCAAATTTCTTGGATTCTGTATATCAATTAGGTTAAACTTCCCTTGGGTAAAGTACAACTCTTAAATGCAATGCTTTTCTTTCCTACTTCTTAATTACCATTTTATAAGGAGTGTGTTGTATCATATGCTTAATACATTTATATAAAAGTAGTGTTTGGATGGATACCCTTTGAACAATGAGAAGCAAGGTCGTGGTAGGCATACATATATTGTTATGCTAAAATACATTCTAACAGACTCCTTCGGGGTAAATCGAATTCCTTCTGTGTTTCATTGTACCATGTGCTGTTCTTGGAACCCAAATGACATACTTGGCACAAGGGTATAAAAATAGTAGTCACTAAATGAATGGCGTGTCCTATAGAGTTTAGATTTTAGTGAGTGAATTTGTCTCCAAAAATTAGAGCATGGGTAAATTTTTCTCTTTGAACTTGTAACGGTGAACCATGCACAACTTACCAAGATAAAAACAAACAGAAAATAAAAAAGTTGTGAAAATTTTATATCTGTTTAAGAAATTGAATTTGTAATTAAAAACTTTTCACAAAGAAGCCAGTAAGATCTCGATGCCCCGCTAGGGAACTCTTCCAGAATTTAAAGAAGAAAAATGCCACTTTTTATAGAGATTAGAAAAATAGCAAACACAACCCAAGTGTTGGGAAAAGTTCTGTGCCCCTGGTAGTTCCAAGTGATTGAGGGCTCCTGGAATTCTCATGCTCTGCTGGTGAGACTGGAGATTTATCAAAAATGCTTTGTGAAATCGTTTGGCTGCCTGTGAAATGTGAATAGATGCATAACCTCTGACTCAACAATTTTATTCTTGGTTATATGAATGCCTATAAAAGTGCACCAAAAGATTTGTAAACAGTGTTTATTGCAGCATGATTGTAATGGCCCCAGTCTGGAAACAACCCCAGAGAACGATATATAAATTTCATACATTAAAATACTACACAGCAATGAAAGAAATCGGCTACGGCTGTGTACAGGGGTATTGATAAATCTCACAAAGAAAACGTTAAGAGAAAGAAGCCAGTAAAATAACTTATGTGGTTTCATTTACATAAAATCCAGACACCACCACATCCTACTTGTGGCACTCCTCTTCAGAGCAGCAGTCAGGTGGTGACCGGAAGGGATGGGAAGGAGATCTCGGGTTTTCCTTCTTGGTCTGGGTGGTGGTTACAGGTGTGTGTTCATATCCTAAAAGTTAAGGAAGCTGTAAATTTATAAAGTGTACCCTTTATCATACGTCTGTTACTCAATTTTTAAGAAGTAAACGACTCAGAAAATAGATTGATTATGTATAAAATGGCCTGGAATGACTTTAAGTAGGCACTGATAAGTGGAAACTTAAACCATACATTTATGCATTCTCAGTGTATTCAGCATAAGATTGTAAGGGAAGTGCAGGTCACCCGATTTCTTCCCACATTGCTCTGCGTGGTTGATTTGTATGTGACTCAAAAAAAAGCTCCTTTTCCCTTTAAGGGATGGAAAAGAATTCGTATAGGGGTAGCCTATGGGAAGCTCACAAAAGAACTCTAATGACCTATCATATATGTTTTAATTTTTTTAAATTGGCATCACCTAATACAAAAATGTATAGTGAGTAAAGGGAACTGTATCCATGAGATGCTTCTAAGAGCTTAATTGTGGTGGTGGTCTCTCACCCTATTAGAATTGTTTTCAATGGAGTGTAATAGAGCCAGAAGGACCTTAGATTACGAAATGTTTTGCTTTGTTGCCAACATGGTGAAATGACAGGATCTATTTCCTTTTTAGGTGCAGGTGTTTGGACTGTATACTGGAGAAGAATTTCATGAGACCTTCGACTGTCCCATTAAAGTAAGTATTCAGCAAGTTTTAATTTTTCTAAGGGTTTTCTCAATGAAGGCCATAGGATTACAATACTTGGAGTGCTACCAATTTTTCATTAATTTTGTTAATAAACATCTATTAAACACGGTGTACTATAGAAACTATTTAGTCCTTTAAAGGAGTACAAGATGTATATTATGTGATTGTGATCTCAGGAATATTCTTGTAGTGGGTGAGATCTCACACACACACACACACACACACACACACACACACACGCGTCTGCAATTAAAGACTCAGTTGGTAAAAACAATATGAGGAAGTCCAAAGCTGAGAGAAAAGTTATTTTTAGCTGTTCTTGTAAGTGATGGTTTTAGATGGAATGATGTTTGGACTTTAGTGAATGGATAGGGCAGATGGAAAAGTTGGCTTTCGATGTGGAAGAACAAAATAATAGAAATGGAAAGGCCAGAAAGTTTAAATTGTGTTCAGGAAGTGGCAAATAGTCTCGTGTACATAGTGCGTGCACATAAAATACTGACTCAGCAGGATTGCCGTGTGGGCAGATGGAGGCTTGCTGTATATCCAGGCTAAGGAATGTGGATTCCATCTGTTAGACAAGGAGAAATTATTGAATTGTAAGAACAAAGACATGACATAAACTGAGGTAAGCTTAAGGAAAATTAATATGGCAGCTATATGCAGTATAAACTTGGAGGTTAATAGCCACACGGCAGAAAGACCAATTTAAGATAAACAGTTACGTTAGTTAAAGTGATTATTATAGTTGTTAAAGGAAGAGGTCATTTTTTTTTTCACTTGCTTATTGTAACATTTATGGATTGACAGGTAAAGAGGAGAAAGGATCAGATGGTATTTTAGAAAGCCAGATCTGTCAGAATAGAGCATGATTGAAGGAGGAGAGTGACTGGGAACGAGGCAGTTTAGAAGGCTAATGCAGTACCGCAGGTGGGCGGGACAGGATCTCAGTAAAAAGAACAATAGTGAGTACGGGCAAACCTCAGAGATGCTGAGGATTCAGTTCCCGACCACAGCAAAAAAGCAAGGGTCGCAGTAAAGCAAGTCATTCTCTTTTTGCTGGTGGAGGGTCTTGACTTCAGTTTGTTAAAACACAGAACCCGTGAAGCTCAATAACTTAAAGAGCAATGAAATGAGATGTGCCTGTATTCAAGATGGAGTAGAAGAGATGCATTTGGAAAGCCTTTAGGAGATAGGCCTCACAAACCTTGGATGGATTTGATGAGGGTGACGAAAGATGAAGGAGGTGAGGGGAAATCTAGGTTCTTACCGTGGCACTGGTGTGGGGATGCCATCTTGAAATGAGGGGTGATTTGAGTAAGGGCGTTGCTGATCTGGTTTTGGGATTAGATCACTGTAGCACATCTTTTAGGAATATTATGGAGGTTTTGGAAACATGAGGGAGGGGGGCCTCAGGATAGAGATTGGCCCTAAAAACACAAAGTTGGTAACCACAGTTGAGTACGAGGAAACCACTTTGAAAGGCATTATTATCTAGTTAAAAGTTAAAGAGTGAGCAGGGAAGAAAACATGATGACGTTTTAGAACCCTCTAAATTAAAGGTTCCGGCAGTGGGGGGACAGGAGGGAAGGGGAATGACAGCAGGGATCTAAGAAGAATCAGAGGGAACAGAGGAGATCCAGAAAAGATCTAGGAATAATAACATAAAATGTATTTAATTGAAGATTTATGAAAGTGTAATTGTGTGGATTTTTTTTTTTTTTAATGCCTGGAAATTGCTCTGTGCTAAGTTAGAAAACCCCCTGAAATGTGTTGGTGATTTTGTGGGTTTGGGGATAAGGAGGGACCATGCAGAGTATGTGCGGGCCCACAGCCAGAAGGGAGCCCGTAGTCCTGCACTGAGCGGTGCCAGAGACCTTTAGAGAGCTCTGGCCAACCACGTGGGGAGTGACGGCGTTGGAGCCGCCTGGGAAGGACCTGGGTAAGGGGTTAGAAAGAGATTGGCCGAGTGGAAACAGAAGGAGAACCAGGGGGCCAGGAACTGAGGGTGGAGGGAAAAGGGAAGGTCCCGAATGGTTAGCTCCGTAATTCGCTGGTCTTGCGGCTTTTTGATGTAAGTACATCACTCTGTCTCTGAGGCTGCATGGCCCTACCTATTCCGCTCGGTGCCTTCGGTCATCAGAAGGCGTCCTGGACAAGGAAGGAGCTCGATGGGTTCTTTTTCTGGGATCGTTCTGTGAATTGCATTCCGTCGCAAGCATTCTTGACATCTCACCACCTGGATTGGCCTACCTTGTTTGTGGTCTGTAAGGAGGGAAACTCCTCACTCATCCAGAAACTAGAACTAATTCACTCTCATCTTTCAGCTCTGACCTGGCTTCGTAGAAGAAATATTTTTAGAGAAGCACGAAACTCAGACGTCCTCAGTTGTTGCAGAATATTACCTGGATAGGTTTCTTCCTGCCACTATATAAGGATGATTTTTAGGTCATGCTGCCTATAATGCAGAGTGTTTCCTCTGTGCCGTAACCATGATCCTAACCTGGCGTCGGGCTCTTGTTCCCTAGATCATCGCCGTGCACCCACACTTCGTGAGGTCCAGCTGCAAGCAGTTCGTGACTGGAGGGAAGAAGGTAAGTGCTGCGTCTGCCATCACGTGCAGGCGTTGGGGGGTTGCTCTTTAATATGTCGTCAACATTTCTAATGTTTGTTCATTAGGAGAAATTTTGAGAAATAACAGTGTGATGGAATCTTAAGACCATCATGTCATGGGGAGGTGAGTTGGGGCCCAGTATTTCTCACTGGCATTCCCGTGGAGTAGCTTCAGAGCAGGAGAAAAAGAGACAGGTTGTTACTCAGACTACCTTCTAACACTCTGAAATATTGTCTCTCCCACAAAAAAGAGATAGGGGTAGCATTAAAAAAATAACAAAATCAGTTAAACTAGTGTTTTTTTTTCTCCTTTGTAGAAAATCTCTTGCAGGCCTTGATAAAGTTTTTGAACAATTCTGGCTATTTTTACTGTCATGTTCCTGGCATATTTTATTATGTTAGTGCTATTTTAAAAATAGGAGAGTAAAATAATCCTTCTTTTGTGTGTGTTTATATGTTTGTATATAGGTATAGTAAATTGTAAAGCAATACTTCTGCTTGTAGAATGTTTTTTTTCTTTTCTATTTTCATTAACCAGCGGCATTTTTTAAAACCATTTTTATAACAAAATGCTCCTTTTGTGCTGGCACTCTGAATATTATTTCATATTCAGTTTAGGACTTGGTGAAAGGAGGTGGTCTGTGGTCTGCAGGGTATAGCTGTGGAACAGCTACTTTGAGTCTCTGATACGGAATGCTTCCTAATGGCTTATGATAGTTAACCTGTCTTTCTCCCTTATTCTATTGCTGCTTCACAGAATGATAGTGTTACCAAGCAAGGGCCAGCGCCTGGTGCACATAGGAACCAAAACTATGACATTGGCTTTGGAGAAAAGAAAGAGGTTTTTTTTATTTTTTATTTTTTGTGTTTTTTATTGCTGAGGTCCCTCAAGAGACAGGAGGCACCACTCAAATCTGTCTTCCCAAACTGGGGTGTGGACAGTTTTAAGGGTGAGGAAGAGCAGGGTGGCAGGTGGGAGTGCTAGGGTGTTATATTTAGGAAGTCATTGCCTGATCTAAGGGTCATGACTCTTTATGCCTGTGTTTCCTTCTAGGAGTTTCATCGTTTTAACTCTTACATTTAGCTCTAGAATCCACTTCGAGTTACTTTTTGTGTATAGTGTAAGGTAGGAGTCCTAATTGGATGTCCTAATTATCCTAGGGCCATTTGTAGAAAACATTGGGGTTGCTTTTCAACATTGGCTTGGCTCCTTTCTCCAAAATAAGTGAACCATAAGTTTTTGGACTTTCAGTTCTGTTGATCTGTGTACCCTTTTAGGTTTTAGAGCCACTAATTTTGCTATAATTCCTTACGGGATGACCAACAAATTAACTCCTCTGCAGGTATTTTGATTTTGATTTCTTTCCCTTTAAAAAGCCATGATAATACTTAGGTTAGAGGCTTAAGAAACATTGGGCTGTAGATGTATCCTCTATTCAGGGATTTCAACATAAAGTATTGACTGATTTATTTGGATTCATTAAAGTTTATTAATAAAAAGTAGTGTTTATTCAATAAACCATAGTGACCTCTTTGTATACAGTTAAGTAATTAGAGACTTCCAAAATGTACAGCAGTTTGGTGTAGCTTGCAGAAATCTCCAAAGAAAGTTCTTCCTTCTCTTCTGTATGTGTATGTACTTTTAAAAGAGCACTCTTACTGGGTAGTATTTCCATTAGTGTGTTTGGTTTCTTTTAAAAAAAAGAAAAAAAAGCTTTTAATTAAGAAAGGGGTAGTACTATAAAATGATTATTTTCATCTTGAAGTGTTAGCAAATTTTTAAGAAGAGCAGTGGTTGTCTTTTGTTTTGTTTTTTAAATAACCAAGTGACAACATTTTAGACCTCAGAAAAATGAGGAAAGCAGAAATTTACACTGGCCCAATCACAATACCACTCATTCCAACTTCGTCTAGCACAGTGATCCTCAACGTTCCTAATGCCCTGACCCTTTAATACAGTTCCTCATGTTGTGATGACCCTCAACCATAAAATTATTTTTGTTGCTACTTCATAACTGTAATTTTGCTACTGTTGTGAATCGTAATGTAAATGTTCTTGTTTTCCGATGGTCTTAGGTTGTTTGACCCCGCAAAGGGGTTTGAGACCCACAGGTTGAGAACCGCTGTTCTAGCGCCATGAGCTAAGCAGGACAGTTTGAAAAGTCCAGCATTTAGCAAATGGACTTAACCTTACAATGATTGTATATTGTAGATATCAAGCCCTCTCTGTTTAGAGCAGATGGCAGACAATGGGAGGAAAAGAAAGTAAAGATAAATATCATGTAACTGAGAGGTTATGACCTTCTGCCTTTAAGAAATAATTTAATCTTCAAAAAAAATTAGGGCAAAGACCAGACAGATGAAGATATAATGTGGAATAAAGCATTTTTAACCCTTAAGAACACCGACCTTCCCTGACTGACGGCCACAGGAATCTTGGAATCATATGCCAACTCCTGCACATGGTGAAAGTGGCATGGAGACTAGAGAAGTGAAACATGAAAAGTAGAAATCTCACAGTGAGATATTCATGATGTCATTTCATAAGGATATTTGAAAGAATGCCTAAATTATTTTAGTTGTTTTGATTTTATTAAAAATTTCTATTCCTTAGAAACATTTTTAGAAATAATTAGAACATACATTTCAAAATAACCCTGCAAAAGAATAGTGTAGCAGAAAAAACTTGATACTATAGTTTGACCCATTTCTTGATATTTCTTTTAAAGGTTCCAGCTTCTTAAATCTTTAGAGATATTCCATATCCGCCAGGGACGAGGAAGAGGATGCTATAGTTCTGTCTGGCATAAACTTTTATTTCAGGCTTTCAAGGTAGCTTCTTAGTAGTTGAATGGTATAGCTAGATTCATGGACTCCCCTGCCTGACACATGAGCATATAAAAAGCTTATTCTAAATTCTGTTTTGTTTCCATGTTGGAGGGATGGGGGAGGAAAAGAAAAAGCACATCTCTTAAAACGCCATTGGAGAGAGCTTCCCAATGTATGAACCAATGGATTTTTTTTTTTAAGTGTAACCTCCTTATGTAGCAAGAATTTTAATCCAGGAGCATAGCAATGAGGTTTCTCTTTTAGAAACCAGTCTGTCAGGCAGATCTTGTCTGGATTTTTTTTTTTTTTAATTGCACAACTTTTTCTGTTAGAAAATAAACGTTTGTTTCCTATGACCTTTACCTTTGAACTCTGAAATGCACTTCATAATAACTGGTTCTACTATTTGACAAATTATTAAATTGTCTCAGTGCCGTTAGCAGCAGAGTTCATTTTTAAAAACGAGGCAGTCAGCTGTTCGGCATTGCGGTGGGATAGAATGAGGGGGTCCTGGCTGCAGGGACAAGTTGCTTTGTAAGCTGGAAATTGTCACTCAGCGGACGCGGAAAGGACCTGTGTGAATGAAATGAGGCAAAGTGTCTCACTGTTCACAGCTGAAGGCCGGTGGCAAATCTTACCTGAAGGACAAAGGCGGCAGCATCCACTAGCTTCTGCAGGTTTCCAATGGTGATTCGCAACAGCAAATGGCATTTTTTTTTTTTTTCTTTTGGAAGAAGATTCAATCGAGCAGCTTTTTGTGAGAATACAAATCTTTTTAGATTTCACACGGCCCAGTGAACCGCTGTGACCACCACACACAGGAATGTAGAGGCGCTTCCTTGTGGGTTTGCTTATCTTCTGGTCTGATTGGGACTCAGGTACTAGGCTATAAATTATCATTCCATTCCTAGAATTCATTTCATGCTTTGAACATACTTAAATTTATTAAAAACCGTCAATTATTAGGAGGTAAAACAAATTCAGCGGTCACAATCATTTTTTATGTATATAAAACCAAATCATAATGTAGCTATATTATAAAAGCATACATATTTATGTGCTACACTGGCGGAAGCTAAAAATAGAAATCTAGTGTTAAAAGTAGAAATCATTTTTAGTCACAAAAATAGGTGCTCATTTCTTTCAAAATGTAGTTTTTGTCTCAAGTGTTAATTACTTTTTCACGTCAGCATGTAGGACCCCCAGAGTCTTTGAGATGGATCCATGGCAACTTCATTATCCTCAGTGATCCTCCGGGTTTCCCACCCTTCAAAAGCCTGTTGAGAATAGAAGCTTTTTTTTTTCTTTGATGAGTTCAACTAATTTTTCCATTTGTAATGTCTCCATATGGATTGCAGCATCCCCCGACTTCTGATGTTAAGCCTAGTGTCTTCCTGGAGCCATCAGACTGCCTTTGCTGCTGCTAAAAATACTTCGCTTTGCACGTGGAGAGTGCTGTGATTGTTCTTAAGTATTTTGAATAGCAAATGACTGTGCAAGAATCATTGCCTAGTTCAGAATGCTTATCATGTTTTCTTGAGTTTAATACCAGTTGACCGAGAGATTTTCTCTGTCTTTTTTTATAAGGCTCTATGAACTACTGTTACTAACTTTGGGAGGTTTTTATTCCTTTTTTTTTTTTTAAAGATAAGATTATATATAGCAAAGGGTCACAGTTTCAGCCATTGTAAGTTGGCATCACTGATATAAACCTAATCACATTAATTTCTCTAGTGTCTTTGGTTTCTTTTCTTTTTAAATATATTTTTATTGATTTCAGAGAGAAAGGGAGGGAGGGAAGGAGGGAGAGAGAGAAAGAGAGAGAGAGAGAGAGAGAGAGAGAGAGAGAGAGAGAGAGAGACAGACATCACTCATAAGAGAGAATCATTGCTGAAACTGGTTTGGCTCAGTGGATAGAGCTTCAGCCTGCAGACTAAAAGGTCCCGGGTTTGATTCCAGTCAAGGGCATGTACTTTGGTTGCGGGTACATCCCCGGTGGGGAGTGTGCAGGAGGCAACTGATCGATGTTTGTAACTCTCTATCCCTCTCTCTTCCTCTCTGTAAAAAATCAGTAAAATATATTTTTTTAAAAAGAGAGAGAGAGAATCATTGATTGGCTGCCTCCTGCACACCCTCCACTGGAGATGGAGCC